GATGATTTATTGATGTTCCATTTTTTTTGTTACTTCTTTGATATTTTTGTTTTTATTTTCTCATTTTTCTTTTACTAGTAGTACTTATTTATGATAGGAAAATTATTGTTAGACTTTTTCGTTGTCATAAAATGCTGCATTTGTATGAAAATCCATTTCATTTTAAGAACAAGTGTTTGTAATTGCATATTTAGGGATGACAACGAATCCCCACAAGGTGGGAACCCCTCCCCATCCCCATTCCTGCTAAAAGCGGGTATGAGGATTCCCAAGGAGATTTTTGGTGGAAGAATAGCCTCTGTCCCAATATCCCGGGAAATGATAGGTCATCGCGGATATTCAAAATCACCGCCAAATAAAACTATCACTTGCTCTACTGTTTGTTAATCAAAATTTTCATTGATTGTTAATCAAAATTAAATTCAATATGGATTTACTTAAACTCTACTAGTTTTCACATTTACCAAATAAAACTAATTCAAATAATCATATAAAGTAAAAATTTGAAACAAGACAAACAAGCAACAAATATACATAGCCAATATGTACATGTCAAGCAAGTCTAGCAAGGCATAAACTACCATATAAGTCTAACAAATCCAACAAAAGATTCATAAAAAAAGAGCATAAACTGCAACTGTCACACAAATCTAGATTCAGCAAAGTTCATAGAAAAAAAAAATATATACATAAACTACTACCATAGATGTCTAACAATAAGTTTATTAAGAAAATGTACATAAAAGAGTCTAGTAAGTGGCACATGCATATACATCAATCCAATCCAGCAAGGCAAACTTTGCAGCAGCAACTTAAACTAAGCTTGATCAATAATTTCAAGTTAAGGAAATAACTTCCTGAAATAAAAACAAGTAACAAAATTTCAGAAAAAATTCTATATAGTAATTTATATAAAGAAATACTATTGTTTAAAATTTACCTAAACTCATCATCCCCCCCTTCATTCTCCTTCAACTCCTCAAATATATTAAAGAAATTCCCATCATTGTTAGAACCTAAATTTCAAACATAATAAAAGTTTAGAATACAAATTAAAAAATAAGAAAATAAAAAAAAATATAGCCTTAACTTAATACCTTTCAAATCTTTCTTTAACCATAGCCGAGGATGGCAATTTTCTCTGCGACCCACGGAGCTTCGCGGAGATACTCGCCACGGGGATGGAGATTCTCAGAATATTCCTACCTATGGAGCGGGGATGGAGGCAATTTTTTATCCGTGAAATTTCGTGTGGAATTTTCTCCACCCCATGGGGACCCGTGAGGATCCATATAAAATAAAAAAATATAAATTTATTTATATATATATTTTTTACATATATTAGCAATTAATTTTTATTTATCCAATTTAATTAATTAACCCAATACCAACATAATTTAAATTTCACAACCTATTCTTTTTTCAATTTTTTTAAACCCAATTCTCAGCCCAACCCAATTTTTTTTGTGAATCTAATAATCCAGCACCTAATTGTCCAGCCCTAATTTACCAGGCTCAATTTACATATAACCCTAGCAGGAGGACATTTCACTTAGTCTCTCTTTTGCTTGCCGCTTCTTGCAATTGAAAATTGTGAATTTGGGAATTGGGATTCCTCATTCCTCTCTCGGTCGGCCTCGGTCTCTCCTCTCCAGTCAGTCTCTAAGTCTTCTCTCCTCTAGTCCTCTACCACACTCTTGCTCAAGCTCTGCCCTCATCTCCACGGATCGCTTCCCTTCAGCTCTCAACCTCTCACCGACTCACCATGCCGTCTCTCGATCGGTCTCTCCAGTCAGTCTCTGAGTTTCCTCTCCTCTAGTCCTTTGCCACACTCTTACTCAAACTTTGCCCTCATCTCCACGAACCTTCACAGTGATTCCCTTCAACTTTCAACCTCGCCGTCACTAAACCCCTGGCCCCTGCTGCCTTGCAACGCTCGTCGCTCACCTCCAGCTAAGCTCCAAGGTTGCCACTGGGTCATCTCAGCCCGCCTCTCACCGTGGCACCGTGTCGTCAACCCATCACTGCAAGTCAGCATTCTGTTTTCGCGTGGCTACCTCCTCTGCAGCTCTACCTCGGATTCTTTTCAAAGTTTCCAACTTCAAGTATCAATTAGATGCAGTTTTTGAAGCTACCGTTTTTGTGCTTTGCTTTAGTGTTTCTAACTAGTATAATTTAATTTTTGTGCTTGAGTGCTTTAGTGTTTTTAATTAGTAATTTTTAATTTAATTTTGTGCTTTAGTGCTTGAGTATTTTTAACTAATTTTAGTGTTCTATCCTCACTACAGCTAAGCATTGCATGCATTTGCATCTTGCATATCATGGATTGTCCCCATATAGGAAAACCCGGTGGGAAGTATTGGTTGGTACAGTCCAGGGGGGTATACCAAAGTGGGGGTGCATAAATAGTAATTTCTAATTTAATTTTTGTGTTTTAGTGCTTTGTGCTTTAGTGTTTTTATTTTTGAATTTATATTCTAAACTTTTATTATGTTTAAAATTCAGATTCTGACAATAATGGGAATTTTTTCAATTTATTTGAGGAGTTGGAGGAGAATGATAATGAGGATGATAAGTCTGAGATAAATTTTAAACAATAATGTTTCTTTATATAAATTATTATATAAAGAAATTTTTCTAAAATTTTGTTAATTTGGGGTATTTGTTTTTATTTCAGGAAGTTATTTCCTCAACTTGAAATTATTGATCAAGCTTAGCTTAAGTTGCTGCTGTAGAGTTTGCTTTGCTAGATTGGATGGATATGTACGCATCTGCCACTTCCTAGACTCTTTTATGTGCTTTTTCTTAATGAACTTATTGCTGGATATGTTGGCAGCAACTTATGCTTTTTCTTTTCTATCAACTTTGCTGAATCTAGACATATATGACAGTTATAATTTATGCTTTTATTTTTTATAAATCTTTTGTTGGATTTGCTGGATTTATATGGCAATTTATGCCTTTTTTCTTTATGAAATATGAACTTGTTGCTGGTTTATTTGCTGGACTTGCTTGACAATGACATGTATATATTGGCTGTGTTATTGCGTATATTTACTACTTATTTATCTTGTTTTAAAAGAGTGATCTTGATCATCTTTGTTTGCTATCTAGGATTTTGTAAAATTGCTATTTTCTTTTGGAATTTTGATTAACAAGTAGTGAAATATGTGATAGTTTTATTTGACGAGGACTCCGAATATCTACGGGGACCTATTACTCCCCGCGGGGATGGGGACGGAGGTCATTTTTGACCATCCACCAAAATTCCCCGCGGGGATCCCCATACCCGCCATTGATGGAGATAGGGATAGAGAAGGGGTCCCTGCCCCCGTGGGGATCCGTTGCCATCCTTAATGGTGTAGCAGTAGTTCTTGGTATAGTACTTGCATTTGATTCATTTGGAATTTAAATCGGTGGGGAGTCGGCTCTTGTGAAAACATTTGTTAATTAATACCTAAGAATGAATCAAATTAGAAATTACTAATTAGAAACAAATTGTTTAATGGAAAAACTCCAATTTCAAAGTTATTGAAGTGCTCTAAATCATAAAGCATAGATACTCTAAATTATAAAGCATAGATAAATCATAAAGCACAGATACTTAGATACTCTAAATCATAAAGCACAGAGAAGAAAAATAGGTGTGCTGTGAGTGTGAGGTGAGGAGGACTTGCTGACCTAAGTTGGGGAGCTTAAAGAGAATCAAAGGTAGAGCTGCAGAGGAGGCCAAATCAAAGGCAAAGCTATAGAGGAGGCCGAATTAAAGGCAAAGCTGTAGAGGAGGCCTATTGTCGCGTAGTCATGAGTGAAGGCTAGAGGCAACTTCGGCTCAGGCAAGCTGCTAGTAGCCGATTGAAGAATAGAAATAGAGCTATGGGCACTACCTTTCGAAGGTTGCAAAGAATGATAAGTTGAAAGGAATTGATCGATTGAAGAACAGAAACAAAGCCAGTAAGCTACAGTGCAGTCTGTGTAAAGGAGAGGAGGAGGAATTGCAGATTCACAAATCTGAAATCTATATATGGGTAGTAGTCCTTCTAGTTCTAGGGTTACTACTTACTAATGCAAATTGGGTTGGGCTTGGGTAATTAAGTTTAAGAAGACTATACGCTGGACTAGATTGTATAATTGGGTTTGGAAAAACTGAAAAAAAGGAATGGATTGGAAAGTTAATTAGATTGAGTAAGTAAAAATTAATTGTTAATATATTTAAAAAATATATAAAAACAAATTTATATTTTCTTTTATTTTATATGGATCCCCATGGTTTCCCATGGAGCGGAGGAAATTCTCCACGAAATTTCACGAGAAAAAAAACGCCTCTGTCCTCGCTCAACGGGATAAAATATTCTTGGAATTTCCATCCCGTAACAAGAACATCCACGAAGCTCTACGAGTTGTGAAGGAAATTGTCATCCCTATGCATATTCAATATTTTAGGAGTATATCCTATTTTTTTTTCTTTTATTTTCATTTTTTAGGGGAGAAACTTTTTTATAGAAATAATA